TCCGGCTCGTCAGTGGGTTCCCCAGCTTTCCCTATTTGCTTTCTGGTTGATATACTGGTTTTGGAAGTTCAACTTTTTAATCTCCTGAGAAATTTATTTCTGATCGCGGTATCAGTGACTGATCTATAAAGATGTCTACCGACGGGCTATAAAACGTTTTCAAAGAGGAGTGGTTGTTATATGGGTCACTGTGTTGTATATTGCCGTCGTACTTTCAGAACGTCCATATGCGAGTTTCTTGTTTTTTTTTCCGGTCACTTGAAAAAAATATCAGTAAAATGAATAAAAAGTCGTTATGTGTTATAGCAATTTCTGAGTTCACCGTCAATTCAGATATATTAAATGTGGGAAGCGTGTTCAATATATGAACTTGATCTTAGGATACTAACGTGATTTTCGGCCACCTGCGACCAATGCGAAAGTGTTCTGCTCAAGATTTATAAAAAAAACGCATTTTGCCCAATGACATAAGGGAGCATTATGGACATTTTGTAGTCCACTTGGCCAATTTGGATCTGTTGCATATAGGGATCAAGGTTAAGGTTTGCAAACGAAATTTATCAACTGACTGAAAAATCCAGCAAAAGGCGAAAATTTTTACACTAGTTGAAGAGAGGAGGCGGGGGGAGCACATTCACGCATTGCCGCTCTTGTGCAAAATGGTGTAACGCTGGCAGTAAAGCAAGAGTCAAAACAAGTCGAACAATCGCACCTTACGGGCGCAGGACAAGGTCTGCTAATGGCATTGTGATCACTGCGTCTGTTGTTGTTGACTGCTGGTAACGTGCGTAGTGTCTACCTTCCCCGACTGTCTCCTCCATCAGTGGTTGTTCACACATTCCTTCCCTCTGTCCTTCTCACCGTTGCAATTGAAAGATATAATGAACAGTACCTAGAAACACGTCTTATCCAACTTGCATGTCTCGTTGATACAAAGAGACAGGCAGAATGGTACGTACCTAGGCATTTCTTTCGACCAACTTGCTTAACATCACGTCTGTATAAGGATTTGCGATGGATAGCCAACTATTTTCCAGACCTTGCACTCCTATTTTTTTTCAACTAATTGTCAAACACCTTTCTCCTTTTTAGGTTCAAATCGTGCATCCTTACATTCCTCATCAGCTCCTATGTGGCACTCTTAGTGATGGAAAATAGGGGGAAAGGTGTCTACGGGGTAAGAAAAAGTATACCTTGTGTAACAAAACTAGATTTAATAAGCATAACTTACCACTGTGCCTGCTTCAACCGACATTGTTACCTGATTCATAGCTGCTAGAATTCGCCCATTGTTGCTTACCTAGAGAATGCATCGTGCAAAAACTTTGACGCGTTTCATTTACATGAGATTCCCTTCAGTTTTCAACCCCATCCCATTTGTAATTCGTTAAGTTTTACTATTCCTACTTTTTCGAAGATGCTAACATTGCCTTTTTTGGCACGTTGGTACTCTAAGGTTGTACAAGGTCCTTTGCGTTCACCTTAGGGCTTGTTGATACATGGAACAGTTTTCTATATTCATATGTGTAATGTTTGCCTTTTACATCTTTCATTTAGGAGCATTTCTACAGTTTTTCCAATAATGATTAAAATCACGTCACCTCGAATTATTGATTCCCACTGTCACGCTTATAGTCATTTTCTAGTTGTCGATCCTGCCCTTGCTTCGAGATTTCGGACAAATTTGACAGTTGCGGTTTATCTCTTGATCATACGTACCGATATAAAAACATTTTAGTGGAAATGAAAGAATTTCACAAATACCGCAACCCACACATTCTATAACTAGTCCGCCGTGATTTCCCACTGTCCGCAGCTTCTTACACTATCGTCAAGTCACTTTAGGTCGGGATAGGGGAATATTTTCTGTTGTAGTAAATGAAAGAATTTCACAAATACCGCAACCCACACATTCTATAACTAGTCCGCCGTGATTTCCCACTGTCCGTAGCTTCTTACACTATCGTCAAGTCACTTTAGGTCAGGATAGGGGAATATTTTCTGTTGTCCATCTTGCAAATTATTTATCTTTTAAAAATATGTTGGCGATACATAGAGTACGGCCTAAAATTCGTGAAGAATGCGAATAATTGATACTTTCTCGTTAATCAGCATTGAGTAAGGTGGTAATACTGACTACCGTGTAGTCCATTCTAAATTCATTTCAGTCACGATGCCGGCTTTTTAGTCAGCTTTGTTCTGACCGCTAACAGAACATAAGTACTGTAAAAAGTGGCTGCTTATGCAGTATGCATTTTTTTTTATTGATTTTGACTCCTTCATAAATCGAAATAGATTTTGTGGAAAAAATGCACAAAAACATTAATCCCTGCACTCGCTGGGTAGGAATTAACGCCTTTTAAACATTTTTTCCTTAAAGAAGAGGCAGTTTTGGTTTTAAAAAAAGTTTCGTATTTACGAGCTTTTTTAGGATTGTGAGGAATGCATTCATAATATATCGTATCCATCAACTTATTAATGCTGCCTATAATGTGTACGGCATGATGCCCACCAATTGCAACATTTGCTGGGAACTATGTGACTTCTTCCTCAAACCGTAGCTGAAAAAGCAATTTTACTTAAACTAAATGTACACACCGCGCAGGTTGTAAATTTTAAATTGAAGTGTAGCAGTCAGTAAGGTTCAAAATTATTCGACAAGTCAGAATTTTTAAAACCAAGAGATACCCTTTCTTTAAGTATACAATGTAACGGCATAATTTCCTACCAAAGGAGTACAAGAAATAATGTTTGCATGCATTTCTTCCATAAATATGGTTGAATTTATATAGACAGTCAAAATCAATGATTAAAAATACATACTAGGTAAGTAGCTACTTTTTACAATGCATACGTTCTGTTAGCAGTCAGAACGAACCACATTAAAAAGCCAGTATCCTGTCGTGACTGAAATGAATTCAGAATAGACTACCTGATAATCAGTAATATCACTCTACTCAATGCCAGTTAGCGAGAGAGTACCAGTCTATCGCGTATGTCTGCATGCTACACACATTTTAGGCCGTACTGTATAGCTGTCTCCTGATTCCCTCATTTTCGATAACCTTTATTTTTGGGCTATAAAACTAGGGCATTCGATTTAATGTTTCATTCTTATTTTGAAAATGCAACCACTGACCAACAGCTCTTTAAATGTTTTGCTATTATTATGCCCTTGTTTGTTGGAAGAATAAATAAATGTATGAATGAAGTTAGAAGGAAAAGAATGGCCGCCCTGTTCACAGGCAGCAATGCATTTCTTCAGCCTGTCCATCGACTATTATTGGGATGAGTGTCGTATCCCTTGCTTTAATAGCCGCAATTGGGACAGCTGTTGAATTTGGACAAGTGGAGCCGGTGTTGGTAGTCGGCACTGAGTAGCCACTGCGTAGTTGAGCCAAGGTATAGCGAGTGACCCTCAAAGGCTGTCGTTCGGAGACCGCGATTGGAGGTGGATAGCCGCTTAAAAGGACAATGGGCTGGAAGCTGAGTTTTTCTTCGACAACGGCTCTCTGGTGAATATGCTGGAGTCTTTTGATGATGACAGAGTCATCAAAGGGTAGATCTGAGTGACATGGGACAACAGCTTACTTGTTCAGTATTCTAATTGACGGGCAAACGTTGTGGTGGGCTTTCCCAAAAGTGACAACGGAGATTACTAGGATGGACAGGCTGCGAACATGTCAACAAAAAGTGCTGACCTAAGAGTGTCTTTTTGGTGCTACCGGTAGGACAGAGGCTTCCATAAGAAGAAGATCGATACGTGCGATTTTATAACAACCCGTGATTGAGCGAACAACGGCGTTCTGTGCTGTCTGAAGGCGACGGAGGCTGGAACAGCTGATCGTTGGAAACTAGACTGGGGTGACATAAGTGAAATGCGGCTCGGCTAGCGTTTTAAATGTGGTCTCCAATCGCTCTTCCGTGCAGCTCTAGGATGTGCCTGCTAGGGCCTTGAAGACCATGGTGCAACGGCTCACTTAGCCGGCGGCTTCCCTGACATAGTTCGCGAACGTAAATAGCGGATTAAAACGGACGCCAAGGAGCTTGGGCGAATGCTGAAAACGAAGATGGCCGGGTGACCATTGAATTTCTATGGGGTTCAGCGTGAAAAAACTGACGGACGACTTGGCTGTCGAGATCGTCAGACCGCGCTGAGTGAAGAAGTTTACGACATCAGGCATTTACTACGAGAGGACTTGCACAGCCTGCGCAATGGGGTGGCGCCGGCAAAAGAAGGCGACACCATCCGCATACGATACCACTTTCGCACGTGCCCGAGGAAGTAAGAGCTTTTGCATATAGAAGTTTAAAAGCGCCGGACTGAGCGCGGAGCCTTAAGAAACGCTGCAGGCCCGTTTATGGGACTTATAGAATGCTGTATGAAAAGATGTGATCGTGGAGGCCACAGATACAACCTGCAAACCATCGGAACAGATCAGTCGGGAGGTTTAGGCAGACCAAATCGTCAGAAGCTGATCATGGCGAACTCAGTCAAAAGTGCGCGACAGATGGATTGAGATTGGCATGGCCCATGAAGCGCGCTTCTGGTGATTGAAGCCCTCGAGTATAGCACCCCTGGGCTTAAAAAAAGCCGTTGTGGTCTCACGAGCTCATCTAAAACCATGTTGACAGATCCATTGCAGATTTCGAAATTTGTTGAATGAGGCATTCCAGGATATTTATGAGTGGAATGAGGAGGGCAATTGGGCGATACGAGGTTGCTAGACTTTGGTATTTACAAGTTTTGACGAGAGGGATAATGACTGACTGACGCCAACAATCCGGGAGGATTGAGTTAACTAGTAAAGGATTGAAACGGGCAGCAAGATACTCAGCGAACTTATGGCCGATATGGTGCAAATAAAGAGACCCCAAACCGTGTTCTTCTAAGGCTTTCGAAGTTTTCTTCTTCTTAACGGCGATGAGGATTGCATCAGCAGTGAAGGAAATGCCCAGATATGGAGAATTTTTATGAAGGAGGTGAAGAGGTGAGCGCTGGCTTTTGGGACTGGACATCGAGCGGGGCGAGGACAATTTGTTAATAAATTTGCCGTCCCCGAAGCTAATAGGCCGGATTGACGAGTCAGTCCGGAGCTTGACAGGTTTGCGTAAAGGTTTTCAAGTGGCAGCCGAGTTGTCACGGAAATTGCAATCTGCAACTAACTCATATCACGGTAAGCGTTTCCCGCCGCCGATGCGCGAGTCATTGGCAGCACATACCCGTATGTCATCTCCTTCGCGTTCCAGGTGAGAGTCTTCAGGCAGGTAGTTGGGACGAAGTAAGGAAATGCGACCGTTCGGGATGCGGTGACTTGCCGCAGCCAAAAACAGTTGACGAGGGGGTCGCTCCGTCGTGTGAACGCAGGTAGGATGCGGTACGAGGCCGATGTAAACTTCGCCTTCGGCGGTAAATGCTGCCAATCAGCTCACTTGAAGCTGATGAGGTGCCTTTTAGAAGCCTTGACACGGTCGGCGGCGATGGCCAATTCGAGCATTATAGGGAGGTAATCTCACCCTAGGCCGACTCTCGTGGCCCACTTGGTGGAGGCTAGCAGCATGAGACTGTCGAGGGACATATCGGGCGAGCGTGGAGCACCGTTGGGCGTGAGCCGCGTTGGGCTGTCCTTGTTGAGGACTGCGAGGAGAGCGTGTTCTACTTCACCAGCCAAGGCTTCCCTTCGGGGATCGATCGTCAAGTTAGTCGAGGTGAACATTGAAGTCACCTAGCACCAAACCGTCCCGAGAAGGTGGGTAAGGAGCGATGAAGGCTCAAGATATGAAGTGTCACTTCAGGGCAGCCATAAACCATTTTCGACCGAGAAAACGTGTGCTGATGCAAAAAGTAAGCCTCAGTGTAAATAAGTCTTCCAGGTCCCTGCTTAGTGTACCACACCATCGATATGCATCTTCTTATTACGTCCTAGCCGCATACATCAAGCCAACGCGAAATCTAAATACATCAGCATCAATCTAGCCTGATTTTTAAGGCTCCTTGAGTCATCAGTGATGTACCAGGTGAAAGAAGTATTCATGGTAGGGCAGAGCCTTGACAGTGAATGGTATTTATAAGCGGGAGAGTATTTTTTCCGTCAACAATGAGTTAGCTAGGCGATGTTATAAAGGAAGAACTTGCTGGAACAGAGTGCTGATTCGGTTATTTGCACATGCTCTCCAGCCGATTGGCCATAATTTCAACTAACGAGCGGGTAACAGTGGAATATAAGAACTCTACTATTATCAATACAGACACTGTTGCCATATATAATCTGGCTCTAATTCAACTTTTTTTGTGACAGCATTATTACAAGAACGGATAGGACGATAATTTAATGGACAGTGTACGGGCTTAAACTCCCGGTCGTAGGTAAAGATGAGAGGGCCTGAAGTGCAGATACTAAAAGATATATACCCTCTTTAATATGCCCTTATATAATTGATTGTCTGTAATTTATAATTTTGGATTGTGGTACTACACATCTAGATTTCGTTTCCTTTGACAGTCCAAACGCACTTATACCATTTACTTATCAGTACGGTTGATATGTCTAGCACATACTATCCCACGATAACGATGTTTGCTTTAGGCGCGTTGAAGTATATATTGTTTCACTGTCTATACCCAAACACTTTCATGTTGCCTATTTAACAAACTTTCCGACAACCACTGTCATAAATTATCCTTAGTAAAAATAAGCACACTATAGGGAAGCATTCTCGATGCATTCCTGGTGAACAAATTCATTCAACTATTTATTTTTTAACATTTAGTAACCGATTTTATCTTTTGATGTTTCAACAAAATATATATCTCTTGTTCAAGTGTTATTTGTATACACAGGGTTTAGTCAACTTCATAGAAAGTTGACAAGAATGTAAAAAACACATTGCACTGCCAAGCGTAGAATGGATTCTCCGTACGAGAATTATCGCTGCTAATCAAGCATAAGATATTGTGCAGCTATACTTGACACAATAATGGACCCTATCTTCATATTTCTATGTATTTTATTTAAAGTAATATTTCTTAATAAATAATGCATACAAAATCTGTAAAAAACAGGTTTATGCAGGTAAGCGGGAACTAAATCTAAATTAATAAACACCGGAAATCTTATACGAAGGCGCGTTCTTATTCGGACGTAATTTGTACGGAATGTATTTTCTGTGGACGACGAGAAAAAGGCTTAAGCAAGAGTCGTGACGTGAGAGACTTGTCTTGGAATGCTTGTCCAAAAACTAACATATAAAATCTCCTTAATTAACGTTGTTTTAATAAGTAATATATTTTCAAAGATTACCTCAAATTTCATAGAATATCACAACAAGTGGAAAAGGACACTCCAAGTTTGGACACTCAGCTTTTTTCTATCGAGCACAACGTCCTGTATTATTTTTTCGATGTAATCAATAAATAGTTAGGACTTGTGTTGATGCCAAAGTTTGTGAAACCATTTTGCTTCCTACGTGTTCGCATAATCTCAGTCATTACAAAGAGGTTCATTCTTAGTAACGAAGTGAAATATGTGAAGAATACCAAAAGAAAGACGTGAGAGAACGTCGTTGGGATAAGTCTTTTTGATAATTAAAGGCAAAAAACCATGGACGTAATGGTTGCTTATCAAAAGCACTCCTGAGGTTCGGTTAATATTCAACATAGTTGAAATGACGCTTGCTTCTTATTGTTACACAGAGTAAATTCGAGCAGCATACACAGTGAAATTCTAATAGTCACGTCTGATTTCTTTTTGCAGAGATTTGTGTTTCAGCTGTGCGCAATCATGCATATTCATTTTTTAAATAGTACACTTGAATTCACCACAAACAACCTTTCTTTTTAGAGTTGGGGTCGTGTGTCTCTCCCAGATAATGACGGTCGTGAAGTGAGTTGCTATCAAAAACATTGATGTCTTTCTATTGATTGCCTGGGAAGCATTACAATTGATATATTTGCGTATAGTGACAATTATTATTGCCTAGAGAACGCAGCAGCCGGGTTGGTTTTTACTTCCGAATGCTTTTCAGTCAAAGTCCTACGGACTGCAAAAAGGCACCCTGAGTCGGTGGAGAGTCAGAATGTACCACTTTCCTTCGTTTACCTTACAAATGCACAACAATTCACGATGGATGACAATCAGAAAAAAATGAATGTATTTGTCATTCAGCAAAGGAGTGTGTAAACGATCAGCCATTTAAAGACAGGACCCAAAACTGATTTTAATTCATTGCAAGAAACTTTCCTTTTTAGAGTTGCGTTCGTGGCTATTTTTTAAAAGAGTACACAAAGGATGTAACTTTCAAACAAAAAATGCACAAGTTAGTATTCGTTGTCTGGGCAGCATTACGATTGATAGATTTTGCATGGAGTCACGGCTAGTTTTGACTACAGAATGTAGCAACTGAGGTAATGTTTTCTACTAAACACTTTTTAACTAAAGAGCCCAGTGGACTATATGAGAGAAGCAGAATGTACAAATTTCCCTTATTTCACTTAAAAAAGCGCTAGATCTCACAGTGGATGCCGAGCAAAGACAAAAGGAATTTATTTTTCATTCGGGAAAGGAAGTGCGTGTGTAGGACCAGCAGACAAAAATTGTCTCCAAGATTCCGGCAACCCTAGGGTTTGAAAACCCTTACGTGCTGTGAAAAAACACATGGATTGCACATTCCGAATGCGCGAAATTTAAAATGTTATTCCTCATTTTTAAGTTGCGTTACGATTACTACAGAGATATTTATGTTGTTTTCCGTAAAAAGGTAGCTATATATACTATTTTAGGAGGAAAGCTTGCTACGTGGTAGTCTGCTTATAGAAGATGATAAGTGCCATCTTCAGATCCAGGTAAGTTCAAATTATATCTCTCTGTTCATTGTCTTGGTAGTGTTATTGTTAAAATGTTGCCCAGCTCATGCAAATAGGCGGGCCATTGTTTGAAAAGGATCAATTTTACCAATATTTAGTCAATTTGAAATCCTTTGTTCCATCCACAAGTTTGCTGAAGTGCAAAAGGCTCTCTTTAAAGGACAAATTGCTACGCATACGTTTTCTTTTGAGTAATTTTCTTCAGGCCTTTAGATTTATATCATTATTAAATGAATAAATTATGCAGGTTGGTAAACAAATAGCGTGATTTTCGTGGTCCGTGGGGTTAAGGACAAAATTGGGTCCAATCTGATTAGCGTCAGAAAGGACTGACAGCCGAACATGGGGATAAGCTGCGGGCGGTTGAATTGAAGCCTTTTGGCTATGCTAACTGCAGTGCCGTTGTAAGGCGCTCTTCGTATGCATAGGACCGGCTCGCGTGAACTGATGGCAGCCACTTCTGCCGTAACCAACAGAAGATATCCAACGAATTTGGAATATTTTGAGGGCACCTTATGGAACCCTCGGAAAGACTCTTTGGCTTCCACACGATTATACGCTAGAATGGAACTGTTTATGCTTTATATCTGACAGTCCTTAAACATGTGACAAGGAGTTTTCATATTCTTTTTGACAAACGCATGCTTGTTCAACAAATACATTTTGCACTACAACAGCAGGCACACAAGTAGATGCACATTAAAATGGTCGGAGCTGGTAGTTTGTCTTGGATCCCTCCGTATAGGACGGCAGTAGCGATAATATGTGGAGTCGGTTGCTGGAAAGGTGTAAGATACAGCTTGACTCGGGCCCCTTCTTTGGAGTTTGCTTTTTGCTTCCCCCTGAAATGGAAACCTGATAAAAATCCAGTTATTCTCCGTTGTCAAAGTCGAGTTCTTTGCGGTAATTTAGCCATTTTCTTAGTACTAAATCGACTAGGATACCCATTTTGTCTTAAACACCATTTCAAATCGTAAGCTCTTCTTCGATGCTATCGGCTGAGTAGGTTCTTTTCGCCCTTTGCGTCAAAAACGTACTAAATTACGTCTGAAGTTTGATGGCATAAGACTGACAAGATGGGTGTATTGTCCGGACCACGTCTTCTTACGATAGGACCTACATTGAATATTTAAGTCTGACCTTTTACAAAAAACGTATTTTGGGAAAATGGAAGCGATCCGGTTCTCCTTCTTCCTCTTGAAGCAAAACATAACTGCCACGTCCTGTGTCCATGTGCATTTACCGAGCATTTGTCTTTATAGGACAGTATGCATTCCGCAGTAAATGACAGACCGGTCCGCCTGTGATAAAGACCACATCACATTAGAAATGTATAGTTTAGAAATTTCAGAAGCTAAACATGCTCGCTTCTCATTGATAAACGTAACGCATTTTGGCAGAACGCACCCTGAAGTTCTAAATGTCAATTGTCATTTTTGAGTTACCTTGTAATTGCTCCATGTAAGGATTTATTTTGTTGGTTCGTGAGCAGTCAGTCGTATTCATTATTTAAATGTTTTCCTTATGTTCATGGCAAACAGTATTCCTTTTTAGAGTTGGAATTGTACCGATGAGGGATTCCTTAAAGTAAGTTTCAATCAAAAATATACATACATGTCTCTATATGGCCTCCGTAAAATTATAACTGAAGTATTTGGCATAGTGGCGGTGCTGATTATCTATACATAATGCCGTAACCGGGGTCATTTTTTCAAATAAACGCTTTTAAAATGCAAAGTGTTCCGTAAAATACGGAAGTACCGTGATCGACCTCCACAAAAAGTAGGTTCTACTCGCATTACTTTGTGATGGGGCAAACATTGGAAGCATTTATCCTACTTTATTTTTCACTTC